GAGAATAAGAACAGTCTCAGGATTAGTTACACGATTCCCATTTATTGAAACTCCTCCATCTGTAATTTTCTGGTACCTTAAAAAAAAAACAAACCAAAATTAAATGGTAATTGCAAAAGGAAACTCTTATTGCTATTAAGTATTGAAAGTCCACTTAAGGGTTTTTTTTCTTGGATCCATAATTGAGTAAATTTTAATTCTCTTGCACTTCATTTTCAGGTCAAGAGTGATTGAAACTAACCTTAGCCTCTACTACTCCAATTCTGTCTGAGAGGTGTAGGGAAACCTAGGCTGTTGCTTTAGGTTGTCCCTTGATCGGGTGTAGATTTTACAGCTGAGGCTGTGTTAGCATATACTTCAAAATGGAATGAGGTTGTGTGCTCCCTTCTTCTTTAATGCTGCTATGTAGACCACAGCCTGTTTCTGCTTGATTTGGCTGTCCTGATCATTTAACTTCTGACTCCAGACTGCTACAACTGTTTAAATGAGTAGAGCACCAGGTGAGAACTTACCCACTAGGTCCATCTGGAATGGCATTTGCTTTGCGACACAGGTCAAGAACACTCATTCCAGGTTCAAGCATCAGTTCAGCAGAAGGAGCTTGTCTAAAAAGTTCCTGTAACTCTAGGTCAGACATCTCTTCCAGAGCCTCCACACTACTGTAATAAAGGGCCTTAGTGCACCTGTGAGAACAAAGATTATTCAAAATACAGAGCCAGACTCATTTTGACACAAAGTGCTACTCAAACAAGCAGATTCCTCTCCCCAGTTTCTCCTGAGAGTCCACAAACTAAGAGAATTACTTAAAATACACCCCCATTTTTTTATTGTACCCTACTGCCCTATGGATTTTTTTTATGTTCTCAATGTATTTTTAAGTCTACAGAATTATTACATTTTTCTCTTTTAACATCTAAGCAACAACTAAATACATTTAAATAGTGTCTGAAAAGAGAATCATTACCATTTAAAAAATCCGAAACAAAACTGCCTAACAAAACAAATTTCACCTCTTAGCAGATTCTAGCCCCTCTCTGCCATGGACAAGCTTGGTTACTTCTGCAGCCAGTCGTTTCTGAGGGCCCCATTTTTCAGGTTCTTTAGCATGCAGTTCCATGATGCGGGCAATCTCCTCAAGAGGTAGGAAAGTGAATAGTTTCAGGTATCTAAGAACAGAGACAAAAATATTTGTATAGCCATCATTACAGATTTCCTGCCTTTGTCATTCAAACTTCATTAACTCACTAAAATGGTTCTTAATCCATTTAAGAAATCCATATGACAGATATGGATTAATTAATGCTTAATTGTGTGAGTTATGGTACACGGATAGAAATAAATGGTATGTTTTTCCAGAGGTGGGCTAAGTTATGACTACTACTAGCTTTGAAGAGGTTTATGGAACTAGTAATTTAACCAGGTGTATGAATTTTGTTCATTCTGTTTTTCTCCTCTGCTTTAGTTTTTGCTTTAACTGCTTTCAACAGTGACTTAAAACTGGTGCCTGAAAACCTCTACTTTGTATACTTGTATTTATATTCCTTGTATACTCTCTGCCAAGAGTTTAGAATGGTATAGCTTTCTCCCCTTTTTATTTGCACTACTGCCAGTAAAGACTGCCAGTGTCACTGCCTCCTAGGCATGTTTTCATCTAGGCCAGTGGTCTCCAAAGTGGGGTGCCAGCAGCCTAGGAGGTAGGCAAGACCACTGGGGTACAGGAAGAAAGTATTAGAAGTTCAGTACACTTCTATAAATAAATGAATATACAGGTATTGGGAGTGAATGCTTAAAATTTCTTTCACTGATAAGAGCCTGTGATCAAAAAAGTTTGGAGATCACTGATCTACAGTTAATACAATCATAGATATTAATTTCTTGACCTTTTCTTAACAAGGCAATATTCAGATCTGTTTAAGGATATAAGTTCTAAAAGCTGAACTCTGTGTGTTTATAACTAGTTAAGCAGCTTCTCACAATTAGAATGTGGTCCTTCTGGATACCTCATTCTAAGTCAAAACTTGTAGTAATTAATATATATTTAAGTGCAGTTGCTTATTAATCAGCAGGAGAGACTTCATTGATACTGAGATGCTCAGTACTGAAACTAACACACCTTGTAAGACAGAGTCACCCCACTGGCAAACAAAATGTGCTGTGCTTCACTTGTTAGTTCATCCACCTCCTAATTTTCTTATGCATATGACAGGTTCCACTATCCTATATACTTAGGAACCAGTTATGCGTGTTTATTTAATGAATGTACAGTTATAATTAACACATACTTCTACATGGAGCTTGTGTTGCACATATCCAAATGAAACAGTTACAGAGAACAGTTAGGATCAGGTTTTATAAACAGTGATAAAAAGCAAGATGAAGAACAACTTACTTTTCAACTACGTTATCTTGTTGTCTGACAAAAAACTGATACAGCTCAAATGGAGAAGTCTTATCTCTGTTTAGCCAAACTGCATTTCCAGCAGTCTTTCCCAGTTTATCTCCAGTAGTACTGGTAATAAGAGGTACAGTAATTCCAAACACATCTGTTCCTGTCATCCTGAAAAAGAAGAGATGCACTGCATGTTAAAAAAAAAAAAATCATCTTGGTAAAATTGACTAAAATACAAACATTCTGCAAAGTCCTATCCTTAATATAAAGCAGTTAAATAAGACAGGGAGCGAGGAGCAAAAGATGCCTGAACAGATGTTCTGAAAAGAATGCTTTAGGGGAAAAAAAACAACTTAAAAACTTAAGTTCTTTTGTGTGTATCAAAGAAGTTGACATACTCAAAGTAGTTTCATGAGCAACAGCATTAGCAGATTCATTGTGCCGGACCTCTTGTCTTCTGCCCTGAGTACTAATCGAAGCTGCTGGTGTGGCTGGGACACTTGTAAGGCTTTTCCTCTGTGCCCATTCTCTGTCTTGTAATAATCAAGCACATACTGAAGGAGAAGCATTACCACATCCTCACTGATTTATACTCCTGCAAACTTTCTAAAACTTGCACTAAATTTGGTGGATAAGCAAAAAGCGCATCATCGTCGCGTCTCATTTCTGAGAAGGAATGGAGCAATCTTGACCAATATACCACAACTACCTCTACTTCAGTGTGATCACACCAGGATCCACATGCTGGCAGAAAGACTTGTCCTGATTTTGTCCCATGCTTCAGGGTATTTGATGTTGGTTCTTGGATCCACTAGTAAAAAATCCATCCTTTTTGTTAAGAATTCATTAACAATTCATAGAAAACGCTTAAACCCTGGCCAAAATGTACGTATGTGTCAGGCTTATAGTCAGGCCAATTAATTATTCCTCTCAAATCACAGTTTTATGTAAGGCCAAATCTCTTGAGGGTTGACGTCTGCTCCTGGTGCTTTAGCGACTGTCAGCACCAAGTTGCACAGCATTTGGTCACAGAACCAACTGGGTTGGAAGAGACCTCTGAGATCATCAAGTCCAACCTATGACCACCTCATCTACTAGACTCAGTGCCACATCCCCTCCTTCCTTAAACACCACCAGGTGACTCCACCACCTCCCTGGGCAGCCCGTTCCAATGCCTAATCACTCCATCTGTGAAGAACTCCTTCCTAATGTCCAACCTAAACCTCCCCTGGTGCAGCTTAAGACTGTCCTCTTGTCCTGTCACTTGTTACCTGGGAGAAGCGGCCGATCCCCATCTGGCTACAACCTCCTTTCAGGTAGTTGTAGAGAGCTACAAGGTCACCCCCGAGCCTCCTTTTCTCTAGGCTTAACAACCCCAGCTCCCTCAGCCGCTCCTCACAGGACATGCACTCCAGACCCTTCCCCCAGGCAGCTCCACTGCCCTTCTTTGTACCCACTCCAGCACCTCAACATCCTTCCAGAACTGAGTGGCCCAGAACTGGACAAAGCACTCGAGCTGCGGCCTCAACACTGCCAAGTACTGGGAGAATCTCTTCCCTAGTCCTGCTGGCCACACTATTCCCGATGCAGGTCTCCCGGTACCCAGACCACGCGCACCACCCCCGTTCCCCGGCCCCGCCGTACTTGGTGACGAGCTCGTAGCCGGACATGATGTTTCCCATCTGGTCGTGGCCCCCCAGCTGGATGCGGCAGCCGTGGTGCTGGTGCAGGTGCAGGAAGTCGTACGCCTGGAGAGCGGGGTACAGGAATTCCGCCAGGCTCATCCCGTCGGCGCTGCGGAGGCGCGCCTGGCAGCTCTGCCGGCTCAGCAGCGTGCCCATGCGGAGCCGCCCGCCGGCCCCGCCCAGGAATCGCAGCAGCGGCTCCCGGCCGAGCCAGCGGGCGTTGTCCAGCAGCTCCGCCCGGCCCAGCCGCCCGGCGGCCGGGTCCCAGAACAGCTCCTGGTGGTTCTGGAAGAGCCGCTCCAGCCCCGCGTGCAGGGCCCTGGCGTGCGCGCGCACCGTCCCGGCCGGCAGCGGCTCCCGCGCGCGCTCCCGCCCGCTGGGGTCCCCGAGCCGCGCGGTGGCCCCGCCCACCACGGCGATGACGTCGTGCCCCGCGCGCTGGAAGTGCAGCAGCGCCATGACGGGCAGCAGGTGCCCCACGTGCAGCGAGTCCGCCGTGGGGTCGAACCCGCAGTAGGCGGCCAGGGGCGGGCGGCCCGGCGCCAGCAGCGCCGGCAGCTGCTCCTCCGCGCTCTGCGCCGGGAACACCTCCTGGAACAGCCCGCGCTCGCACTGCGCCGCCAGCAGCCCGCCCGCGCCCCGCGCCCGCCGCGGCTGCTCGTGGGCCCGGCGGCGAGGCGGGAGCGGGGCCCGGCGGAGGCCGCCCCACAGCCCCGCCGCCCGCCCGCACCGCCGAGCCAGCGCCGGGGCCGCCATCGCGCGCGGGGCACGCCGGGAACGAGCGGGGAGGGGCTCCCGCAGGCGCCGGCCCCGCCCCGCGCGGGGAGCCGGGGTGGGATGAGCGGGATGGGATAACCGGGACAGGATGAGCGGGACGGGACAACCGGGGTGGGTCAGTCGGGATGGGTAACAGGGACAGGACAATCGGGATGGAACAATCGGAGTGGGATCACCGCCATGACCCGGTGTGAGGGGGAGCCCGGAGGGAGCCTTGGATGGTCGGGAGTGGCTTGAACGCCTGGCTGGTGGTTCTCCTTCACGGTATTAAAGAAAATTCGCACAGACACGCCATGTGTTGTTGGCTTCTCCTCCTCCACTGCTTTTTTTTTCTTCCCTTTCCCCAACCCGACATACTGGGATTTCCGATGCTTTCAGGCTGAAATGCTTGCGTGGGAAATGAGGCCCTCAGGTGGTAGTAGGGCGGCTGGCAGGACGGGTAGCAGATGCTTAAATTAGTGACACTGGAGCTCTAGAGCTTATGGACTCTAGAATTTATAAACTGCATTACCAGAATTTATTAGCTGTGTTATGTAGCTTGAGTATTTGGGAAGAGGATGCTTAAACTATATTAGTGTGCAGCTATAGGCACGTGGGTGATTAAAGGAAGATTAGGGGAAACATGGACCCTCTCAAAAGGGAAGTGGGACACCTGGTTACCTGGGATATGGAGAAGGCTGAGGTACTTCACGATTTTTTTGCCTCAGTCTTCACTAGCAAGTGACACCACCAGAGCTGCAGAAGGCAAGGCAAGGACGAGGAGAATGAAGAACCACCTGCTGTAGGAGAAGATCAGGTTTGAGACTGTCTAAGGGGCCTGAAGCTGCACAAGTCCGTGGGATTTGATGAGATGCATCCACAGAACCTGAGGGGTCTGGCAGATGAAGTGTCTAAGCGGCTATCCATATGTGAGAAGCTAAGGTAGTCTGGTGAAGTTGCCACTGGCTGGAAAAAGGGAAATATAGCCCCCCTTTTTAAAAAGAGAAAAAAGGAAGTCTTGCCTCTGCCCAGCAAGATCACGGAACAGATCCTCCTGGATATTATGCTAAGATACATGAAAAGTGAATGGTGACAGCCAGCATGGCTCCACTAAGGGCAAGTTGTGCCTGACAAATTTGATGGCTTTCTACAACAAGGTTACAAGGGAAGAGCAGCTGATGTCATCTATCTGGACTTGTGCAAAGCATTTGACACTGTCCCACACAACATCCATGTCTCTAAATTTCAGAGACATAGTTTTGGTGCATAAGGAACTGTCTGGTTAGTTGCAGTCATAGAATTGCAGTCAACACCATCAGGTCCAAGTGGAGACCATACTTACTTGTATTGTGTGAAAGTTGCTCAAAATGAGGACAGTGAGCTATTTTTGCTCCAAACTGGAAGTTCAGTTTTCAATTAATTTTTAATTGTTGTCTTTCTAGAGAAATGATTTAATGACACCTATGCTAAGTTTTTACTGCTTTTTGCTTTGCAGTAATTTCCACTTGTGCAATCTTTTGCAGATGGAAAGCTTCAGAGTTGTTAATCAATGCTGTTGTATGCACTGTGACAGATGGAAGTATCAATTTTATAGCACAGTAGAGATGTCAAGTGTATTACTATGTATGTGTGTCCACATACATTTCCCCAAATCAGTTACAAGGGCACCTTCTCCTTCCTCCCCCCTGGGACCAAGCCCCTGGACCATCTTCTATAAATTTGTTCTGGCAGAACTAAAAAATAAAAATGGTTTTCAAAACTGTAATGGGATAATAAGTGTTTCTTTCAGAAAGAATGAAGTTGTCCAGGGAGAAGGGGTCCCCACAACTTCTTCAAATTTTGGAATGTATGAGAGTATGAAAGAAGGTCTGTGAAACTGAAATATTTATACCAGAGATTAGAGTTGTTTTTGAGGAAATGTTATTGTGTGCTGTAAGTAGCTTTTCTTCTTTACACAGTTTTAATTTGTTTTTTGAAATGTTAAGACTTTGTATGTTTACTTTTTCACAAAAAATTCACATTGGTAATGTTTGAGTGCCAAGAAATGAACACGGTTTATAATTAATGCAGAACTTTGAAAGTCCATTCTACCTATATTTCTACACCCTCATGTAATTCTACATTCTTACTTCTTGAAGAGTTGCATAACTAGTAGTGTAGACAGGATGCTCATGGCTGTTGATAGGTTTGAAAGAAGCTGTTTTCTGGAATGAAACTAAAATACTTTAAATTACACTGTTACTGCCAGCCATGGAAAAAAGCCTAATGAAATCAGCAACTGAAAAATTAGTCTGATGTTTTACAATTGTCTTCAAGTCCACCTTATTTAATAGAAACTAGAAATAATTGTGTCATCAATACACAAGTTTTAGCTAACTTATAAATTAAGTGTGCTCGCCAGTGAAAAACACAATCACGGAGGGGAAAAACCACTGTAGCCAAGTTCGGATTAGTAAATGTCTGACATTAGTACCTGAGCTTTGTGTGGTACTACTATAACTAAAACACAGTCTCACTATGTGAACAGAGTGTGTCAATGTTTAGTAATCAGGTTAAAATTTCACTTAGTGGAATAGATGGGCAAGGGGCAGGTCTGTGTGCTTCAGACCTCATTTTGAAGTAAACAGAGCAGACCTTGTGTAATACCTGCCTTCACTCAATGCTTTGTGGATGACTGACTTTGACAGATGCCAGATTGCATATGGTAGACTCAGGTCCCTGCTTTATGGGCTACAGCAGGACAAACAGCTTGCCGGTCTGTTGTGCCCATGCCCTGTTGGTAACTTGAATGGAATTATCTTGAGTAGCTTTTCTTCCTGCAGTTTTATCCTTCAGCTATGAGGGTGATGGGTAGCTGGTGTTTTCAGTAGTTACTGAAGATCTCCACTGGGTCACCTTTTTGTTGCAAGTCAAACTCTGTGCTTTGAGGTGAGAGCCAGATGATTGATTCTTCAAAGTGTAAAACCATTGAATATGGGTTTGTGCTCATTGACACTGTTTAAATTAGTGAATGTGCTTTCATGCCCCAATAGCTCCCTTTAAGTTTACCTCCTGCACTCCCTCTCACCCCCTTTGCCTCTTCATTGCTAGATGCCACAATAAGGTTGAATTAAAATCCTCCAGATTTTGCTGACCCCAAATGCTGTACAGATACTTTTGGTTTGTGATTTTTTAAAATATCTGTCTTAATTACTTTTCATTTTGCACTTTAAAATCACAGCTTTGTAGCCATGTTAAATGCTTTAACATTAATTACTACTTGTTCACATTTGAACAAGTTCTGTTTCTGATTACCTGAGCATACCTGTTTTGGGGTATATGAGAAACAAGACCAGACTAAGAAAGGATACTTAATTTTTCCAGTCATCCTTGATCCTTGGCCCAAGTGTTCAAATGTGATAACCTTGTACAGTCATGGCAAGTAGTGGTTATTTCCAGCTGTTTCTTTGGAAAGAGTTAGGGAAGGGTTTGGTTTGCTAGGAATTGCTCAAAAGGAAGCACAGACTAAATTCCTTAAGAATTTATGGGTGTTACTAAAAACCTTGTCTGCAAAGAAGTGACTTCCCTTTTTTTTTTACTTTGTATTTGTAAAATTGAATAAAATCCTTTTACTAACTTATTAAAAGTGGGTATATGTGTGCATTTGCACCATTTGGTAATTAGGGAAAAAAGGCAGGAAAGAGATCAGACATAAAACATTACTTATTCTGTTCCTGGGATTTTATTTCCTGCAACCAGAAAGAAACTGTCAAATCTGCTCTGTTGTTTTTCTCTGGAGGCAAACATGGCTGTGTACTGATGTACTTTGTTCCCGAGTGTATGTTTTCAATTTGCTCTAATGCTTCTGTTGTTTAAGAAAAAAGGCAGGTATATTATATGGATGAACTTTACTTTCCCTTCTCTTCACCTTTTTCCTCCATATGGTTTCTCTTAAGGTAAAGCGGCAGAAACTCGTCCTGAGAGTGAAGACAATGTATAGACTGCTTTTTTAAAGTTAGAAATGACTCATCTACTTTTAATTTTTCTTTATGAAACAGAGATTAGGATAGAGGTGTCTCATTATCAAATTGATCAAGGAAAAAGAAACATAAACAAAAAAACCCCACCTAAAAAATAACAAACTCCCCACCCAACTATAGAATAGCTGGATTCTTGAGACTTGTTGCAATTTACTAGAACTTCCCCGTTCCTCTCATAGCCTGGGTGGTTTTAAACCAGCTGAACAACTATGACTTATTTTGATGACAAAAGAGATGGTTCTGAGTTACCATATTCAGGAAGCTCAGGTTAAGGCCTCTCCCCTTGTGGCTGCTGTGACTGCAGACTATATTGTCTAGGAAATTTATGGACCAGGAAGTGATTCTCTCTGGCCTAATCCTTGAAAGCAAGACTGCACTCAAAACCCAAAGCGCTATATCAGACTGAGGGTCCCTTACTAAAGAAGCTCTGAGCCAGCTAACTACATTACTGTATTCTAAAAGTCACTAAGCAGTTGAACATAATCCAAATCTGGGCTTGCACTGCAACTCACGCACCTGTACTGCCTAAGCAACCCAATCTCAAACCCCCCCAGGGGAAGGAATTCGTCAAGGCATTGTATTCCATGCTTATTCGATTCCACGTGTGTAAGGAGCTGTAGTGGCTATTAAGAAAAAGGAGGGAAGGTGTGTTGGAGCAGTAAAGCAATTCTACTTTTAAATGTAGATGTTGCAATTCTACCAGCTCTTAAAGTTCATTCTGTCTTTCATGCCATCTTTACAAGAAAATGAGGAAGCAATGATCCCAAATGCTGACTAGGCCATAAGCAGTAGAATCACTTTCTGCTCTCCCATTAAGAAGTCCAGCTTTTGTATGTTGTACAGTCTGAAGGGTCTTTTTTATGTGTAAAAGCACTACAGCTTCCCTCATGTGTTTCCTGGTCCAGAGACCCTTGTGGTGCTGTTCACTCACAAGTCTTGGGCACCTAAAATTAAAAAAACCCTTTCCTGTACATGCTCCAAATCTCGTGTTGCAACTGACTGTAGAGCCCAATTAGTGCCAGGATATACCTTTGATAAAGATGGCAGATAGCAGGGATGCATCCAGTGAATTCAGAGGACCAAGAAGCAAAATGAACATCACTCACCTGGTAAGTCATACTATGCACACAGAAGGCTTAAAAGAGATTCAAGAAGTTGATTTAAGCTTTGAGAGGCTCTATAATTCCACACTTCAAAAAGTGTTTTTGCTGTGTATTCTCACACGAAGGCTGGAAAGCTTTGGTGCAATGTGCCCCCATACATAACCAAGAAGAATCTTATTAGGGCTTAATCATTCTTTTCCTTTATTGTGAATTTCCTGCAGGTTCCTTCAAAGCAAACCTGTTCTGAACAAACATGTTGGTTGCAGGTTAGTTGTCCTTGCCCACTGACACAGGTTTCTCTGGTAGGTGAGCACATATTGGCTGTAAGAAGTCCTGGGTTGGAGGATGATTTTGCTCATCTTGCTGTGGGTTCTCCTGTGGAGTAACCGGCCACTGTTCTCCTCCAACACATGGTTGTTAAAGGAGGGGAAGCCTCCTTTGAGATCCAAAGATCTCCATCTTTGGACTTTGAAATGAATCTTTTCATTGTCTTCTTGTGCAACTCCTCTTAGGAATGGTGCTTTGAATAAGGCAGAGTATCTTAAACCTCTTCACTGGTATACCTCAGCTGCTTTATTTGAACTCTGTTGGTGCATTTTAAGAACTGATGGTATTGGGCAGTTTGTGAACTGCATAGTAATGCACAGGACTGAAACATCTTCAATACATCTTCAGGCAACAGAGCTGAAATGACCTGTTGTTTTAGAGAGATGCTCGGTTGTCACAACTGCAGCCATTTTATAATGTAGTAATTTTTCTTTCCAACCCTAAGTAATGATACTCCGTTCTTGAGGATATGCTGTCCGAGAATAAGAACAGTCTCAGGATTAGTTACACGATTCCCATTTATTGAAACTCCTCCATCTGTAATTTTCTGGTACCTTAAAGAAACCAAACCAAAACAACTGGTTATTGCAAGAGGAAGCTATTCATTCTTCAAATACCACTTGAATATTGTTTTGCACTAAGTGTCACTGTTTGAACTAGTGAATGTGCTTTCATGCTCCAATAGCTCCCTTTGAGTTTACCTGCTGCACGCCCTCTCACCCTTTACCTCTTCATTGCTAGCTGCCACAATAAGGTTTAATTCAAGTCCTCCAGGTTTTGCTGACCCCCAATGCTGTACAGATGGTTTTGGTTTGTGATTTTTTTTTTTAAATATCTGCTCCAAATTGCTTTTCTTCTTCATTTCCAAATCACACCTTTGTAGCCATGTTAAATGCTTTAACGTTAGTTACTACTTGTTCACATTTGAACAAGTTCTGTTTCCGATTACCTGAGCATACCTGTTTTGGGGTATATGAGAAACAAGACCAGGCTAAGAAGGAATACTCAATTTTTCCAATGTTTACCTTAGTTCCCCTTTTTGTTTTCTACTTGTAAAAAGAAAAAAACCCTTTTACTAATGTATTAGAAGTGGATACTAATGCCTAAAAAAAACCCCCAAAAGTTGAAATTTGTGGATATATGTGTATCTGCTCCATATAGAGGTTACTGAAAAGAAGGCAGGAAACAGATCAGATATAAAACCGTACTTACTCTATTCCTGGGAGTTTATTTCCTGCAGCCAGAAAGGAACTGTCAAATCTGCTCTATTGTTTTTCTCTGGAGGCAAACATGGCTGTGTAGTGGTGTTCCCAAGT